AATATGGTGGTAGACTTTATGGGAATGAGCGTGTATTTTGAAAAGCTCTACCCATGTAGAGTACTGGACATTTTCCATTTCGAGAGTGATGGAGATATGGTTCTTAATATTAGAAAACCATGAGTGCAGGATGAAGCTTTGAAGACATCTTGGACGGTGAGGTAGAAGGAGAAGGGGATTGATGTGATTCGTTTGTCGCCTTTGGAGATCTAAGCTCTAATACCATGAAAACGAAAACGCTCTCCCCTTTCTCATTAAAAAACCTCGATACATATACAACATCAAGATCCAATCCAGAATGGAAGTTCCTCAAATTAAGAGATACCTAATCAATCATAATTATCTCTAAATATACAAAAATTATATACTAATAAATATAAAATATCTTCAATATCTAAAAGATACCTTATTTGATTTTTAAGTTTTTTTTATTGGTTGAATTTAATTGTTTTTAAAAATGAAAATCAAGATTCACCTCCGAATCCATTGTTTTCTCTTTTGTGGTATGATAATATCAAAATGAAGATCAAGATTCACCTCCGAATCAGTGAAAACTGGTTTCGCCAATCTCGATTTAAATCTAAAACGGCTTTAGGATATCCGAATCACATATAAACCTCTACATTGCCTTAATAAAATAATTTGTAACTTGTTTTTCTTGTTCTCTTGAAAAATATTATTGATGACCCACGAGGCCACGATGGCCCGTCCATGTGTACGGAAGCTTCGACGCAGGTGCGGTGGGCGGTTAGTGTTAGGTAAAAAGTCACCATTTTGATTTGTGAGCTCTTTTATTGGGCCATTCAATTAACCCATGATGCGTCACTATAAGTGAACTGTAGTAGGACCTGAACAACATGAGTTTACAGGTCAAACTTCTAAGCCTCCAATACATTACTATATATATATATATATATATATATATATATATATATATATATATATATATATATATATATATATATATATATATATATATATATATATATATATTTTAAGTTTATACTACATGTTTCCCCATCAAATAGTTGTCGACTTTTTTTTTGACATATGTACTACTATTATTATTATAATTATTAAGTTTCAGATTTTGGAGGTTTTGGGTGAATATACTAAAAATAGCACCGTCATATTCAGAACTCTTTTACACCTGTTAAAGTATTAAAAATACCTCAAATACCTATACGTTAGTTTTTAAATGTGTAAAAGCACATAATAACCAAAAGCCAAAAATCCGAAATTTTAAAAAACTGCAAAGGGTATTTGAAATAGTTTTTGAATTAAAAAGTTGTTGTTTAACATAAACAACTTAAAAGTTAAACGGTTGAACAAAGTTTCTTTCTTTTATTTTTTTTAAAAGAAAAAGAAAAAGCTAAAGGTAAAACACCTTACACACCTATAACAAAAGGTTTGCAAAAAAGTAACGTGTATAAAAGTTTTTTAGTTACATAAACCTATCAAAATTTTAAGTGCATGTTATAAATTTAGCTATTTATTTAACTGATGTTTGTTTTCGAAAAGTTAAAATGTGTTCCGTCTTTTACATGTATAAGTAATAAAATATGAATCAAAAGTTCTTTTTGTATTTTTTTAATTTTCATAAAAAAAAATTTGTTTGTTTTTTAAAATCATTATAAAAAAGGCCGGTGGTGTTGGTGTTTGTTGTGGCGACGATGATGGGAGAGGTGGGGTGGTGGAGGTGGTAATGATGGCGGTAGTGACGTCAACGCTGATGATAGCGAGGGCAACGTTAGGGATAATGGTGGTCGTAGTGGTGACGGAGATATGGATGATATAAGAAGAGATCACATCCAAAATCAAAATCTATTATTTTTTTTTTTTTTTTGAAAAAAGAGTTCATAAAGATTTTTTATGACTTTTTTCTCTCTTAAAAACAATTTTTTTTTCAAATATTTTTCCACCCATTAACATAAAAGGTCCTACCTTAGATTAAATCGGTTGGTAAGTCTGCGATCTCTTTCTTTTGGAAGATATAATTTTCTGGACCCACTCTCCCTCAATACTAACGTAGAGCACAAAATATCTTTTTTCAGTGGTGTCTACTAAAGAAATACTCGAAGTAAGAAGTGTTACACGTGGAGTTTAAATATTGTGAAGTCTAGCTGGTATGGAAGTGGAGAATACATATTTGTATTAAAAGTTTGGGACTTGTAAAGTATCTACTTTTTTAAAAGAAGCAAAATTTTATATCATACTAAAAAAGACTAACAAAAAGCTAGTAAATACAATATCAAGGCATAGTTTCATTTGTAAAGTATCCACTTGTTTAACACAAGCAAAAATTTCATATTATAAAAAAGGGTAAATTACACGTATGGTCCCTATGGTTTGGGGTAATCTGCGTAGTTGGTCCCTAAGAAGAATTTTTAACTCGGACAGTCCCTATTGTTTGGTTTTGTTGCGCCGTTAGTCCCTATTTGACCTAAAATGACTTTTTTACCCTTATTAATTTCTTTTTTAATTTGTTTTTTTTATTATTTATTATTTATCATTTATAATTCTAAAATACAAAAATACCCACCCAGCTCCTCCGACAACCTCTACAGTCCTAGACACAGCTTCCGACAACCTCCATTCCTCCGATAACCACTACAATCCTCTACTACCTGGAACAAAAGGCAGGTAACAGACCAACACAACCAACTCGTCTTCTTCCTTCTATTTTAAAAGATCTATGATACCTCATCCATTTCAGCTCAGATAAACCTAATAACGTAAATGAAACCGAAACCAAAATTCATACTTGAAATCAAAATCAAAACTAAATATGATGAATATCAAAGTCAAACCTGTGAAAATGAATATCAAACCCGAAGGAAATGAAAACCAAAATTGATGTTAGTAGAAGCTGGGTTTGATGATAATCAAAATAAAATCAAACGATCAAGATGAAAATCAAAATCAAATGAATATCAAAATCTGATTCAATGATTAGGGTGGCTCTGGTTCACTTCAAGCACCAACGATTTCAAAAGGGGGTTTCAGTGGTGCCCTCACCCTATGAATCATCCGTTTCAATCAGAGGAGAAGGTTGTTAGGGTTTTTGATATAAAGTGTCAACAATAAGGAATAAATGGGTGGGATAAGCGATGAGGGTGAGGCTAAAATAGAAGGACAACTCATCGGACTCTCTGGTTTCTCCGACTTCCTCCACCTTCTCCGACAATCTGGTTTCTGTAAGGTTTTCCCTGATCTGATTTCTCCAATAATTTTCTTCGAGTTTGATTTCCAAATTTCCTTTAGATCTGTCGGTTTCTTTTCCTAATTTCTTTGACATTTATTTTGAGTGGAGGTTCTATGACGATCTTGTTGAAGAAGACAAACAGGTTGATGATGGTTAGGTGGAGGGTTACCAGAAGAAAACGGTGAACGGGAGGAGGAGTGAGGGGGTGGGTTGGATTGGAGGAGGAAGTAATCTGATTATGCTTTTTCAATAATAATCATAATAATATAACTAGTGAAAATAAGAAATAATTATTAAAATGAATTTAAAATATAAAAAATAACAGTATGGGCAGAAAAGTCTTTTTAAGAGTGGTAGGGACTAAAGACACAATAAAACCAAATAATAGGGACCGTCCGAGTTAAAAATTCTTCTTAGGGACCAACTACGTAGATTACCCCAAACCATAGGGACTATTCGTGTAATTTACCCTATAAAAAAAAGACTAGCAAGAAATTAATAAAAACAATATCAAAGACATAATTTGATTTCTTAACCAAGCAATCCAAATTATCCTAACCTTAAAGTTTCTTAAAGTAAACCAATGAAAATAATGCTCAGCAATATTATCAAAAAGAAATTGCTTTCTATATTCAGAAGATCGAACGACTAAATAACCCATAACACTTTCATAAAATCGACTCTACAATCGATTTTTTCGTCCTAACGACCGGTCGAGCATCAATCCAATGTAAAAAATTCATTAGTAAAGAGAAAGAGAAAGTTTACATCTGCAAATCAAACCAAAATGCAACTTTTTCCAAATTTTGACAAGCCGTTGAGCATTGAAAAAATAAATGAATAATATTATCAATCTCGAGCAGAAAGATAGGGCATAAAACCGAATCCAACTCCACTCCCCTATCCACCAAATTACTTCTAAGAGGAAGCATGTCTAACAAAAATGTCCACAAAAAACATTAATATTAATCGGAGTATAGTTGTTTCATCTGGTATACCTTTCTCCCCCGGACAAACGTTGATCATCAAGATATTTACTAGTCGATTTGATAGTGAAAATACCACTAGAATCCAACAACCAACTCCATTTATCAACCACTCATCTGAGAAGATCCATAAGATTATCTACTTGCAAATGTTTCACTTTTAAGTTTTAGATGATAAATATATAGAGTTTTTTTTTTAAACATCAATGAAGATATTCAATAGATAGAAAAGTCGTTAAGAAACTAGATTATAAACAATTCAAACACGGTAAATTATATCATCTAGGCCAAAATAAACTATCACCTCTAGTGGCTCGGTATTTAATCCAAAAAATACCAAACATCAAGATTTTAATTTAAGAAACTCAAGGTCTTGATTGCAATATAATAAAGACAAAATTACCAATTATTTTTGTGGTTTACAAAAATTATAGGTTCAGTTATTTTTTATTATGTATTATGTGCGTGGTCCATATGGTTTCATTTGTTACAAATATAATACAAAAGATCACAATTTTATCTTTGGTTAAACATTTTATTAATTTTTATTTTATACATTAAAATTGAAATAATAAAAACACCATTAAACCTATCCATAATCCCCACTTCATCCTCCCCGCTTCGTCTTTCCGGCGACCTTCAAGCCCACATGCTTTCAACCATGATCCACCGGTCTTCGGTTCTCCATCCTTATCTCCCCCAAAATTTTCAATTTTTCTAAATCTTTTTCTATCCTATTAACCACCATTATAGAACAAAAACCTCATAATTTCACCTTGTCTTTGTGTGATTAAATCTTGTGTTGGATCCTATTCATCGTGTTTGCATCTGAAAGAAAGTTCGCATCTGCAAATCAAACCAAAAGGACCACTCTTCATTGAAAACATTGCATACTCATCAAGGTCTCTGCCATACTCATCATCATTAGGAAACAACCTTCGAAAATATTTCATCCTTTCTTGTGAAAGTTCTTCATTCCTATGTGGAGCACATCTTGTAGAATCCTCCATTAACCATGCATCACTATAATATCTACAACATCCAAAAGTTAAAACATAAATATATAATAGAAATCAAGTGTATAATTTAAAATCTTGTACATTGGATGTAAAGAGTGAGTTAAACAATGTAGGGGAGTGTTATTATTTGCCCATTGAACCACTAAAATACGATGCACAACGTCATAAAAGCAACTTATTTGAGATGTCAGACGTTTTTTTTTTTTTTTTTTTTTTTTTATAGATCTCAATCTTCACTTTCTCAATCATAGAATCCCACATCTCATACACCAAGTGTAAACATGGCTTGTCGGTGTCACAAACTCTAATCATCTTATATATAAGTCCAGTGAAACTAAGAATATATGCTACTTTGTCCCACCAATCATCATTCAAAATATATTCTTTCACATAGTTTGCTTTCTCAGTTTCATCTAATCTATAAGAAGACCATTCTTCGCTTATGAACATAGCTTGAAGACCCTTTTTGATAAGTTTCAATCTCTTAAGCATCACAATTATGGAGGCAAAGCGAGTGTTAGCAACAGAAAGCAGCCTAAGAGGAGTAAACTTGGTGAAAATCGAGAGCCTCATGTTATGGTTCATGATGAATTTTTTTTATTGCAAACACCTCTTCGTGAACTCCTTTTATCCAGTGGCACTGTTCATATGTTAGTTCATTTGTTTCCACATTCCTTGGTGAACAAATGTTCTTAAAAGCAAGATTAAGCGTATGAAGAACACATGGTGTCCAATAGATTTGAGGAAACTGACTCTCTATAATCTCTCCAGCCGCCTTGCAATTTGTTGCATTGTCGGTAATGATTTGCACAACATTTTCATGACCAATTTCATTGATGACTTCCTTCATCAATTCAACAATAAAAAATCTATCTTTCACGTCCCCAAAACAATTCACTGTCTTTATAAACAAAGGACCATTACCTGAGGTAGCCATGAAGTTGATTAGAGATTTTCTTGTAGGATCACTCTAGCCATCACTCACAATAGTCACACCTTTTCTTTCCATGTAGACCTAAGTGGCTCTAATAGCTTGTGAACATTATCTTTTTCTTTTTGTAGTAATGTTGTTCTTAGCTTATTATAACTAGGAGGTACATAACCATCAATTTTGTAGTTAGCAGCAAACTGAAAAGCCCTGACATAGTGTGGATTTCTTGCAAGATTAAAAGGTAAACCTCCGGTATAAAACATTCTAGCTATTTCTTGATCCAGTTGGTCCCTAATTTCAACACCAAAAGCTCTTTCAATAAGTGTTGAAATACCTTTTCTTTTCTTAAATCCAACACCAGCTTCACATGGTAACTGGACTTCTTTTGCTTGTGGCTCGATTTTATTCTTTTTCATACGCATCTTCTAATTGTGTCATGTTAAGTTTGTCAGCTATTGTTGCTTTCTTGCAAATAGAAATCTCGGTACCTATATTAAACAACATAATAACATTGACATTCTCAATTACACAGCATGAAAAAAAATAAGGCATCATTGACATTATAAATTCAATTACAGTACATTAATCAAAACAAGAAAGTGAATCAAAAACCTTTTATTTCTTTACCATTGTTCATGAATAAATAGTTCTATTGAATAACATGAATCAAAAGTGCAAAAAATACATGAATTAAAACAAAAATCGTAGCCTTTTCTTTCATTACAACTGTTAATGAATCAATAGTTCAATACTTCAATATAATAACATGAATAAAAAATCACAAAAAATACATGAATAAAAACAAAACTCGCAGCCTCTAATTTTATTTCTTACAATTTTTCATGAATCAATACAATAAGTCAATAACATAAATCAAAAATCGAAAATTACATAGACACACACACACACATTAATTTGAATAATAAATTACCTTTTATGCCAAGCAAATGCACTCTAACTCTAGAATATGATCCTTGTCGGGTTTCACTGCAAATGTTACACTTGAACTTTCAACATCCTCTTGCTCCAACAAGTTTATTGAGTTTAGTCACAAAGTCCCACAATGGAGGTTGATCTACTGATGTAGATGATCTTTGTGTTTCTTGTTCTTGAGAAGAAGCCATAATAATCTAATTGGTGAGTGATGAATGTGTGAATGAGTTTTGAATTTATTTTTTCATGTTCTTGTCTTCTTGATCGACAACACAATAGGCAGTGAAACTATAAAAATCGATCAACAAGGAAAACAGTACACAACAACGATCGGTGAAGCAATTACCCTTGTAAACTTCTAATCGACTAATTGTAGGGTAATAACTAATAGCAAATGATATAAGACTAAGCCCATTACACTATTAGTGCGTATTAAAAGCCCATGCTGCCATGAAAAAAAGGGACAAGTGAATGAAACTTGCAAGAAACGTTTCTGGAATTGCCGATACTTGCCGAAAACGTTTCCCAGCCGTTTCACCGGTGTTTTCGTTTCCTGGGCATTTCAGATACGGGAGCGGCTACTATTTGGGCGTTTCGACGCATCGTAGATTCTATGAATACATGTTCTTCATCCTTGAGAGTTCCCAAAATCTTTTGAGGGTTCTATATACTTTATGGTTACAATATACACACAATTGTAGACTTGGAGAATGTTTCTTCTTGGCTGCCATTCACACACATGAGAATGGAGACAAAAAAAGAGATAGATAGATAGACAAAGATAGATGTGAGAGAAAGAGAGACGGATAAAGAGGGGGGGGGGGGGAGAGTGAAATACATATATAACTATTACTCTCTCTGTCTCTCTCTCTCTTTTATATATATATATATATATATATATATATATATATATATATATATATATATATAGGGCTAGGTTATAATGTGGATTGTAAATATTATGTGGATGTAGGGATGAATGTGGACCAAAAGTTTAAAATACATATTCTAATAGAATACATATTAAAATTGAATGAATTTTTTAGAATAACAAATTTTTTGAGCCATGAGTTGAAGAATAACAACATTCTTAAAGAATAATCATCTATTATTAATATTATTGAAGAATCTAAGATCAAAAATTAAACAGAAAACATTTTTTACTGTCACATTCTATAAAAATACAATATCATTTTTTGAATTTTTGCCATGTTTTATAAGAATACAAGCTTTATAGTAAGTCATTCTTAAAGACAGAAACTAAAAATGGTTTAAAAAAAATCATTAAAATCTAACAAAAACACTAATTGATTCTTAAAGAATATTATTGCTAAGAATCACTTCAAATTTTGTGGTAAATATTCTAAATATTCTGACAGAACGTATTTGGCTAGAATACACTTTCATTCCGTTTTCTTTCTGTTCCATACCAATGACAACCTCTTCAAAACCTAAACCACAAAAAAATATAATCAACTTTCAAATATTTAAAATTTCATTACATATATGAAACTAAACATTACCTTGTCCTTTGGCTTCATGAACTTCTTGCTTCATTATCAACATCCTTGAATTCATCATCCACTTCTTCAAAAATGTTAAATATTCCATCATCTTCCTCGTGCATATAATTAGTCACAACAGATGTTTGATCAACAATTCGACAATAAAGTAAAAATAAAATTAACAAAAAATTTTATGTAGGTTTTGTAATACACGAAATGAACATTAATATATACAAAATTACATTGTAAACACAAATTCCAATTAACTCGATTAAGAATAGAAAATGAACACAAATTAAAAGGTTTTTGATTTTGGGGAATATGCGGTGAAGGTTCATTAGCATTCAAAAAAAGAATGGAAATTAAAATTCATTACATTTCCTACTGTTTCACTTATTTGCATTTATATAGAATATAGGAGAATTGTTATTTTCCATAAAAAACATAAATCAAATTAAACCAAAAGCATATTGCATTGTAAATGAAATTAAAAACACCCAAAGAAACCATCAACGCACTTAGTGATTTGAGGGTATGTGGAATGATGGCTAAGAATCCCACGGAATCCAAATCAATTTCACATAATCCCAAATCATTTTTAACCAACGAAAAAATGGAATAAAATTCATTTCCAATTTCACCAAATGCCATGGAATCTGACACCCCTTGTAAGATGCACATCAAAATAGGAACTAAAACAAAAAATTACCTGTAAGATGCATTTGCATCTGTATCACCATTTCAGTAACAAATTTGAGTAAAAAAGTAGGTTAAGAAAACATACATGTTCTAAAAAACACCAAATTTTGTTGAAAATTATTCTTTGGCATTACATCGAACACTTGTAAGGCATACTGAAATGACCCCTACCTTTTACCAATTTCCAATAATAAGAATTCTCCATATGAATTAAATCTTATTAACGATTGCATATGAGATTGATAATGAAAAAAGGAACAACATTTCTGGAAACCCATTTGAATTTCAAATCAAAACTGAATGGGGGGAAGCGATTGCGTATTGGAGTCGATGAGAACGTGTGTTTGTGAGAAAGAAGGAAAGAGACAGTGAGGGACGTCATACCGTAGGGTTTTGGTGATGAAAATTCGAGCAAATGAAAGAGAATTCGTTCCTTCTCTCTGTATTACGGGCATCGATAATGTGTGAAGATAATGAAGCTAATATGAACGATTGCACATGGTTAATCAAATTTTATTGTAACTGTACATTGAACGCACGTCGATTGAACGAGCCCTGGAGAGTTGGTTCCCGATTCTGATTTCGATTTTGAAGTCGTTCCATCCTACGATCTTGTCATCTTCGAACGTGGGTGGGTTAGGATTGATCGCCGGTAAGAGATTGAGATGGGTAGAAATTTAGAAGCGGGAGAGATATGATTTTATGGGTGTTGATGATGGAAGAGGCAATAGGGTTTTAAATAGAGTAATTTGCCTAAATTAAAGGGTGGATGATTTAATTAATTATTTATTAAAATTAAATAATACTTGGCTCATATTAATCCTTACATCCACATAATATTTGTTAATCCACATTTGAACCTAGTTCTCTCTCTCTCTCTCTCTCTCTATATATATATATATATATATATATATATATATATATATATATATATATATATATATATATATATATATATATATATATAATGTTCTAAAAGGTGTGCGCCAAGGCGTGCCATGACGTGAGGCGTGACTTCGTCGTTACGAAAAGCTTCATAACGTTGTTGTTAGGCAGACGCGTAGCAATGCTTGATATGGCGTGTCATGGCCCGTTATGACGTGTTATGACGCGTGATTTTTCGTATGAGACATATTTTTTTGCTCTTTGTTATGTCTTTTCTAATCGGAGTATAAGTATTCTGTTTTTTGTAACTTTTTATTATTAGTTATTGATATAACACTTCTAAAAAGTAGTTATACTTAATATAAATTTCTATTTGTGTGGTAATATAATAATAAATTAATACAAAATCGTCGTATTACATCACGCCTTGAAAAATACTATAACACGTAATGACTCGTTAAGCTTGAGGCTTGACCTTGCCGCCACGCCACGCCTCACGCCATTTAGAAACTTGTGTGTGTGTGTACACACACACACACACACACACACACACATATATATATATATATATATATATATATATAAGGTTTTTGAGAGTTCCCAAAACCTTTTAAGGTTCT